GCCCATTCCCTTCCACTACCACCTACCACTACCCGCCACTCGCGCGTCGAGATCTGCCGCAGATCCCCGCCCCCCCTCAGCCACTACGCGCCCCCCCTTTCACGACCACCACCCATCCCCGCCCCACACCCCATATGGCTGGCTCCTCCCCCTTCGTTGCATCTGTCAACGGCGTCGACAGTCGCTCGGCGGCGCACGAGCTCCCGCTCGCGCCCGGCCTTGCAGGTCCCTTGCAGACGACAGGACTGGGGCCCTTCGTCGACGACGAGATGCCCGACGCCGGACCTGTGAACACCTACGATCTCAACTTCGTACGTCCCCACCCTATTGCTCACTTGCGCGTGCTCATCAATGTGTAGACTCACCCACATTCTCCCACCCCCGGTCCTTCGACATCACTCACATCGTCGACTGGGTATGAACCCATGGACGTGGACGTCGACTCCGGCTACAACTCGTCGTCCCCTGTATCAATCTTCTCTGGTTGCTCGACGGATATGAACGGTGTCGAGCCGTCCGACCCGAGCACCCTTACGGACGAGGACATGTACGAACTCCTCAAGGCGCCTCTTATGCGGGACACCCCGCTACCGTTCGACGACGACGCGGACCTCGACTACTCGCTCGACGGTCATGCTGAATGGGCATCTGTCGATACGCTTCTGCTTGACCTGCTGACACCCATGCCCTTGATTTTCGACTATTGATCTTCTGGCTTTGGAAGAGCACTGGTGCTCGACTTCGCAGCTGGGCTGCGACCATGACGTCACTCTCCTTTCATCTTGTTCTGTATCGTTAGCTGCATCCAGCCCCACAATCCTTCATCGCAACCGCACATGTCGTTCCCTACATCACTCACCAGGCTCATGGTCTACAACTGTATTTGTATATCACCGCTTCACCTCTCCCCGGCTCGCTGTATCACACATCACGACTCGCCTCACACATCACTTGCTACGATTTCCCTTCGTTACTTTCGCTTTCTCGTCGGCCTCGCGTACATGTATTTGTAGTTCTCTTCTGCGTTCGTTTGTGCCGAAGACGCCCGTAAGCGGCGCGTATTTCTCAGACTGGTGTGTGCCCCACTGATGAAGGGTGCCACACCTCCCCGCGTGCGACCTGCCTTCGACATTTATTCGACATCCTTTGTACCTTCCGTCCGCCGCTCGTGGCCGAGAGGCCTACGCGTACACCGGCTCGCGATTGCCACCTCTAAGCAAGCCAATTAGTCAGTCTTCCAACCGCAGGCAATGTATTCAAAGTCAAACAGCGCGCATAGCCGACGGTTCGCGGGATTGATAAGATCCCGGTCATCTGAGGTGGATCTGAGAACGTTCGCGGGTCGTTAGCCGTAAATATTCACTCCGCGGGTCCTTTCTCCCGCGTCCACCATCATTCATGTAGAGGCCTAAGACCTATATAAGCAGGGCCATTCCCATCGATGAGGATGTCTGCGCTCTCACTCTCTCGTCCACCTATCTTCAGAGCTACTCTGCATCGTTAGCTGATCTGTCATGTCTGGGTACTCGTATGAGATCGCGCACTGGTCTGCGTCCGAGGCTGTCAAGAAGGACTTTGGTCTCACGAAGGATGTTGTGAAGACTATGAAGGAGAAGACATCTCTTCCGTGTGTTCGTTCTCCCTCATCACATCGTATAGTACTCTGACAGTGCCCAGTGTATTCGGAGGAGTCAGCGTCGAGACGTCCGAGCTGTTCTTCATGCTCAGTACGTCGTCCACACCTTCTCCCCTCGCCCAACCTCCCACTGATACATATATCTATAGCCTGGGACAAAACCGAGACGCACAAAGCCTTCATCGACTCGCCTGACTACGTCCCCTTCAAAGCGCTCTTCCCGCCCCTCATGCCCGACGGCGGCGCGACCGTCGAGATGACGCACACCCACTTCGACCGCGACCCCCTGCCCATCTGGAACGCCAAGGTCACCGAACACGCGTGGTTGACGCCCGAGGAGGGTAAGAGGGATGCGCTTGTGGAGACCTTGGGGCGTATGGCGGCGGAGCTGGAGGGGCTGCCGGAGTATTCTGTTGGTATGGCTATTGGGGCCATCGAGGAGAAGCCTGAACAGGTGTTGGCGGTTATTGGGTGGCATAGCGTTGAGGTGTGTCTCAATGTTTTGGTATTTGGCGATGTGTGCTGATTCGGTCGATAGGACCATAAGAAGGCAGTCGGTCCCGATGGGCCGTGCCGCAAGTACCTCGTTGAGCTGGGACCAAACGTGACGGGCCCGCCCGACGTTGTCCATGTCCCCTACGCGCGCCAGTGAGGATTCAATCTCAGCTCAACAAGCATGTATAACAGCATCTGCGTGTCAATCAACTGTATAACTGTCGTTCACTCGTTGCGATTTGTCTGAGCGCGGCGTTGTCCAATCCGCACTAAGTTGTCCAGAGCATAGGAATCGATCACCGGGCTTTGCATCGCCGGGCACCTCCCACTCTCCTTGGGATTGTGGCGATCTTCTAGATGAATATCCACGCCCTACATGCACCAATCCCCAGCATCGATATGGTCTGCATTGGATTGTGCATGACCCCGGCGTAAGCTTCAGCGCTGTACAGCGCAGATAGATATCACTCTTCTAGAGGTAACATGCTTCTGATATCGCAGGGATTCGTATCGTCTTGATCGTCTTAGGTCGCCGCTGGGATGCGCGTTCGCCGACATGCCATGCACACGCTGATATCTCCGGCAGGTTCTGCGTGTATAAGAGGCAGAGACGTCGCGACGAACATCTCCAACGCTCGTTTCCCTCCCTCTGACTTTTCACTCTCATGGCAGACTATACATACGAGATCGCTTGGTGGCCTGCACCTGAGGCAGTCAAGAAGGACCTTAACGCGTACAAGCCCGCCGTGGACGTCATCACCAAGTACACGCCTCACCCGTACGCAACTCGCTATCTACATCACGCACGCCCCACTGATCCAAGGGCGTTCTGTTCAGCGTCTTCATCGGCCTTAGCGTCGAGAAGCAGGACAAGTTCTGCATGTTCGTCAGTGAGTACCCCGTCGCTCTCGCACCGACCTCCACGTTGAACACTGCGTATAGCTTGGGAGAACACCGCCGCGCACGGCGCCTTCATCGCACACCCCGACCGCCCAGCACTCCTACAGAACCACCCGTCCATCTTCCCCTCCAACAGCCTCAGCGACGCGACGGTTTACCACACGCATCTGAACGCCGATCCACTGCCCATCATCCAGACCCCGGTCGTCGAACAGACGATACTTACGCCCAGAGACGGCGTATCGCTCGATGAGTTGAAGGATACGCTGTTCAGGGCGGAGGAGGTGTTGAAGGGTATGAGCGATGTGTGTTTGGGACTTGTGCTAGGTACGATCGAAGAGAAGCCGGAGCTGCTCGTTGTGCTCGTTGGGTGGACGAGCGTCGAGGTGCGCTGAAATCTGTGATTCGAGATTCCTGTATCTCATTGCTGACGGGGGGCTGTATAGGCCCATCAAGCTTATATCGCTGCGGAGGGTGCTCAGGAAGCGGATGAGATACGGGCGAAGATCAAAGAGTTCGCGATGTTCTATGTCTCGTACACTCGGCAGACGTAGCTTGCTTACTTGACTGTGGAAACTGAACGAATGTATGTATAGTATCAGACGTGACGGATCGCATAGGCTGTGGGTTATGCTCAGAGGCGTCGAAGTTGAATGTGCGCGCATCGTCGAGCGGCGTTTAGGTCTGAGCTCGAGCTTGAGGCCCGCGAATGCATTATCATCATCTCCGAGCTTCCACTCACGAGAGTGGAGATTTGTCGACGTTCTCTCCTAACCCCAACCCTCACATCCTTTGTACCTATAGTTCGCCGATCGTGGCCGAGAGGCCTACTCGTACACCGGTTTGCGATTGCCACCTCCAAGCAAGCTTATTAGTCAGTCTTCCAACCGCAGGCAATGTATAATTCAAAGTCGAACAGCACGCATAGCCGACGGTTCGCGGGATTGATAAGATCCCGGTCATCTGAGGTAACGTTCGTGGGTCGTGAGCCGCACTCCGCGGGTCCTTTCTCCCGCGTCCACCGTCATCCATGTAGACTGCCCTACGACTATATAAGCAAGGCCCTTCCCATCGATGAGGATGTCTGCGCTCTCACTCTCTCGTCCACCTAACCTCGGTACTGCTGCGTATCACTAATCCTGATCTGTCATGTCTGGATACTCGTATGAAATCGCGCATTGGTCCGCGTCTGAGGCTGTCAAGAAGGACTTTGGTCTCACGAAGGATGTCGTGAAGACTATGAAGGAGAAGACGTCTCTTCCGTATGTTTTCTCTTTCTCATCTTCTCCCGCACGTTTCTAACTGTGCACAGTGTATTCGGAGGAATTAGCGTCGAGACGTCCGAGCTGTTCTTCATGCTCAGTACGTCGCCCACACCCTCTCCCCTCGCCTTACGCTCCCACTGATATTTGTCTCTACATACAGCTTGGGACAAAACCGAGACGCACAAAGCCTTCATCGACTCGCCCGATTACGTCCCCTTCAAAGCGCTCTTCCCGCCCCTCATGCCCGACGGCGGCGCGACGGTCGAGATGACGCACACCCACTTCGACCGCGACCCGCTCCCCATCTGGAACGCCAAAGTGACCGAGCACGCGTGGTTGACGCCCAAGGAGGACTCGAGGGATGCGTTGATCGAGACACTGAAGGGTATGGCGGCTGAGTTGGAGAAGTTACCGGAGTACTCTGTTGGTGCGGCTGTGGGCACTATTGAGGAGAAGCCGGGCCAGATATTGGCTATTCTTGGGTGGCATAGTGTTGAGGTGTGTGTCAATGGTTTGAGGGCTCCAGAAATGTACTGAACTTGTGGGTAGGATCATAAGAAGGCTGTAGGTCCCGATGGGCCGTGCCACAAGTACATTCTCGAGCTGCGCTCGCAAGTTGCGAGCACGCCCGACGTTGTACACGTCCCTTACGCGCGCCAGTGAGGATCTAACCCAGACTACCAGCATGTATAACAGCACCTGTGTGCAAATCAATTGTATAGCTGCCGTTCACTCGTTGCTATCTATCTGAGCGCGGCGCGTTGTTTTATCCGCGCGATGTCGGCCAGGTCAGATAGATCGATCACCGAGCTCTGCATCGCCGGACACCTGCCACTCTCCTTGGGATTGTGGCGATCTTCTGGATGAACGCTCATGCCCTACATGCACCAATCCCCAGCGTCGATATCGGAATACATCTCCGCATTAAGATCCACGGCGCAATCCTCGGCGCTGTACAATGTAGATGGATATCATTCTTCTCGTGGCAATGTACTTCTGATCATGTAGGGATTCGTATCTTCTTGATCGTCTTAGCTCGCCGCTCGGATGCGCGTTCGCCGACATGCCATGCAATCGCTAATATCCCCGCTGATAAGATGGTGTATCGCTCGATGAGCTGAAGGATACGCTGTTCAATGCGGAGGAGGTGTTGAAGGGTATGCGCGATGGGTGTTTGGGACTCGTGCTTGGTACAATCGAAGAGAGGCCGGAGCAGCTCATTGTACTCGCTGGGTGGACGAGCGTCGAGGTGCGCTGTCTTTTCCGGTTCGACATTCCTATACCTCGTTGCTGATGGTCAGCTGTACAGGCGCATCTATCTTACATCGCCGCGGAGGGTGCCCAGGAAGCGGATGAGATACGGGCGAAGATCAAGGAGTTCGCGATGTTCTATTTCTCGTACACTCGACAAGCGTAGCTTGCTTACTTGTACTTGACTGAACGAACCAATGTATAGTATCATAAGTGACGGATCGCAAAGGCTGTTAGTTATACGCAGAGGCGTTGAGATTGAAAGCGTGCGCATCGTCTTGCGGCGTTTAGGTCTGAGCTTGAGCTTACAGTCCGAGTAAGCCCCGCGGATGCAATCTCGTCATCTCCGAGCTTCCATAGATGGTTATCGCCGTCGCCTCTGCAAATGATGGGATTCTGAACGGTTGTCCTAAAGCCGACGGCCTTTGAGTCAGCGAAAACGATCGCTTTGAGTGCACAAAGCAGTCGTGCGCCAGACCGATCATATGGAACAAACATAGGTGCCACATCGGTTCACGGACCGCAGCCCGTCTGAGGCAGTACGAAGTCATATGTATGATGCAACGTACGCGGAGAAGACGGAAAAGCCAGGTCGAACTTGTCAACGACCTTTAGTGATGGAAGCGACGACAGGTATATACAGCGAGCAAAGGCGTGAACATGTGGTACTGCGACGACCTACCACTTCTTCGAACCACCTCACCTTCTCTCCTCCATCATGACAGACTACACTTACGAGATCGCATGGTGGCCCGCAACCGATGCGCTGAAGAAGGACGTTAACGCGTATAAGCCTGCCGCGGACATAGTGGCGAAGCACACGCATCTTCCGTACGATCATTGACATGTTGCTTGTTAGAGACGTTCGAGCTGATGCTGGTCTAGAATCTTTGCGGGCCTCAGCGTCGAGAAGGGCGATTTCTTCCTTCTCGTTAGTAAGCACTCTCACCCACATGAGTTCGCCGCATGTCGTTGATCCTGGGTGCATGTAGCCTGGGAGAACGCCGCAGCGCACAGCGCGTTCCTCGCGCACCCCGACGCCGCGGCGCTCGCCAAGGACCACCCTGAGCTCTTCCCGCCAGAGGGAGCCGCAGGCGTACTCGGCGTATGCCACGCCCATCTTAACGCGGATCCGCTGTCGGTACTCAGCGCGCCAGTCGTCGAGAACGCGTTCTTGACGCCAAAGGAGAACGAGTCATTCGATGAGCTGACGAAGACACTTGTTGGCGTAGAAGCCAAGAGGGCGGAAGGCGGCGGCGGAAAGTACGGGTCTGGGACGATCGTGGGCACGATTGAGGAGCGGCCAGATCAACTCGTTGTGCTTGTTGGGTGGAACAGTGTCGAGGTACGCATCCTCTAAGCCTGGAGAGATTCGCGTGTAGGAGGGGATTCTGACGAAAGCCTTGGTCAGGCTCACACGGCATACATTGCTCCGGATGGCCCGGCTGCAGACTTCGTTCCTAAGCTTCGGGAGAAGATTAAGGGCGTCGAGGTCCACCATGTAACATACACCCGCCTAGCGTAGAGAGCATCTAGACACGATGCACTCTCATAATCAGTCTCGGTGATTCAGTGCAACTTTGTAGACTGTGGCATCAACGAGCGCCTTGTAACAAGGACGGCAGTTGGTTTTTTTTTTTTTTTTAGGTTTTTAAATTTCCTGA